CAGGAGAGGCTCAGCAGATGCTCGGCTTTACTACTGGTGACCTACGACAGGAGCTGCGGCCCTGCTGAGCACACAGGCTAAACTTCACCACAGGGACAGCAGGGCATATCGCTAGGGAGGCCCGATCCTGTGCCGGTGCACAGCCGACCTCTGTGGCCGGGCAGGCTGCAGCACACACTCGCCCTCCCAGTGCAGCGCAGGCCCACGCCAGGGTAAGGACCTGCACGGTGCGGCCATCGGCCCACACGGCAGCTCGACCCGGGGTAGGAGCCCACAGCACCAGTCGGCTGCCACGCGGTAACTGCAATGGGCAGAGAAGGGACTGTAAACTGAAATATTCCCAATTTTGCATATTAAACGTCACCTGGCTGGCCAGGAGCACCCTTCTGCCTCGCAGGCAGCCCAGGACAGCGGGGCTGGAAGCTGCTGTGCCAACAGGACCGCTCTGCACCGGCAGCCCCAAGGCTCGTCAGGCCCCTCCAGGAGCTCAGCCGCATGCCAGATGTGCACGGGCAGCCAAAGGTGTTTTAAGCCAAGACACCTTCTCCGTGCAGCCGAAAGCACCTGGGATCTCCTATTTGTGACTCAGGAATGGTCATTTTACTTTGCTTGTTGGCTCTGCACGTCTAAAAGACTTCACCTGAACACACAGGGCGTCAGCCACAAGCTAGCGATCCCCCAGGCCTGCAGCCAAGACGGCTTTGGAAGCACAGCACGGAGCACGACACAGAGACGGCAGCATTTGCAACCCAGCAGTCCCTGGCACCCTCTGGTTTCAGACCGTGCACTGTCAGGTCAGCCCAGGGAGGCAGGCAGAGCTCAGGGGTGAACTCGCCTCTCGGCAGCTCTCCAGAACCATCCCGTGCACAAAGAAGCTCCAATTTCCCCCAAGCCAATTCAGGCGAGAGCTGACATCCTCCTGCGTGGTGACACTGAAAAGCTCGAGCCGTGCAGCCTCACGCACTTCCTGTCCCAATACTAAGGGCCCTTGACTACGGTAAGCCAAAAATCGAGTCAGTCCCGTGTCAGGAGCTCCTGACCAGGCGGGGAGGATGGCAGGCACCAGCTCCGGCGCCTGCTGGCATTGCTCACTTACTTTAAAGAAGAGGTAGAGCCCCAGAAGGGTGCAACTGGCAACAATGGGAAAACGAGCAGCGTCTCGGCTGGTAATGGTCTCCGGCATCTCTGAGGAGTTCTGGGGAGGGAAGGAGAGGACAGGAGTGGATCAGCCCCTGCTCTGGCTCCCTGCCTGAGCAGCAGGTGAACAGACACAATGAGCGGGGCTCCGTGGTGGTTTCGAGAGGGGAGAGGGGCGGGGCCCCCGCCAGCCCCCCGTCATTCCCGGAGGTGGGGCTGTGTCACAGGCAAAGCCTGAGATGGAAAAAGCAAACCTTGCGCTCATCCTTCCAAGGGCTGCCGCAATTTACCGCTTTTTTCCTCTTGGAGAAGGGGAAAAAACCCTGCCCACTGTGCTGGCGTTGTTCCCTTCTCCCCCTGCTCCCTTGCCGCTCACGCCCGGCTGTCCCCGCCAGCCTCCCCATCTGTGCGCACCATATGTCGATCACCCTCTGAATGACGTTTATCTCCAACCACCTTTTTATCCCTCACCTCGCTCTTGGGACACTCCTTGTGCTCAAAAGCCCCAGATTTATAAACCCCTTTCGCCTTCTGATACATCTTTGCACCAGCTGAACAAACCCCCTTTCAAGCCATTTCCCAGGAGAGAACTTCAGCTTTCAGAGGAGAGCCAGAGGGCTGCCTGCTCCCCGGCCTGCCGCTCAGAGATCTAATCTCACACAGGCAAACACCTGCGGCCAGCGCTGGACAGAGTGCACATCAGCAGAAGCCCTTATGCAAAGCAACGCTGCAAAGGAACAGCAGCTTATCCCAGGCACGGCAGCTGCCACGCAGCGCTCAGCGGCGCAGAAGCAAGCGCCCAAAGAGCCCCTGGCTCCCTGCGGTGTGAGCAGAGAGAAATCCCCCCCGGAACCACGGCCAGACCCTGCTCGCAGACCTCAGTTGCTTGGGCTGCCAGGAACCCCGCTAATATCAGCTGAAACCCCTGATGTAAGACTTAAGAGCAGACAAGGGGCTTTCAAAAAACAGCGACAAATCAGGCTGTGTACAACAGTCCCTTCTCCTGAGCTTCAGGAGCCGAAGTGTTGGGATTTAAGTCCCAGCTGCTACCCAAGGCCAGGCACGAGATGCAGAGAGCGGCACGATGGGCTGCGGGGACAGCACAGGGCGTGCAGGCAGGAGAGCGGGGCAGTTTTGGAGGGCGGGGCGCCCGCCCCGCGCCCAGCCCCGGTGCTGCGGGGTGGAGGGAGCGAAGCCACACACGAGTCCCCCCAACACAGCATCTCCTGGCGGGGAGCGGCTACGGGCTTTGCAGCACTTGAATTTCTCAGGACGGTGAGGACGGGGCTGGAGAAGGCCCCGGGGGAAGCCCGGTCTCTC